TTGAGGCTGGAACTCAAGGGCAGGCGTGCTGGGGCATGGATTCAAGGGCAGGAATGCAAGGGCAGGAATGCAAAGGTAGGAATGCAAAGACAGGAATGCAAAGGCAGGATTGCAAAGACAGGATTGCAAAGATAGGAATGCAAATACAGGATTGCAAAGGCAGGAATGCAAAGGCAGGAATGCAAAGGCTGGAATGCAAAGACAGGAATGCAAAGACAGGAATGCAAAAGCAGGAATGCAAAGGCAGGAATGCAAAGATAGGAATGCAAAGGCAGGAATGCAAAAACAAGATTGCAAAGGCAGGAATGCAAAGACAGGAATGCAAAGGCAGGAATGCAAAGACAGGAATGCAAAGGCAGGAATGCAAAGGCAGGAATGCAAAGGCACGAATGCAAAGACAGGATTGCAAAGGCAGGAATGCAAAGGCAGGAATGCAAAGGCAGGAATGCAAAGACAGGAATGCAAAGGCAGGAATGCAAAAGCAGGAATGCAAAGAGAGGAATGCAAAGACAGGAATGCAAAGGAAGGAATGCAAAGACAGGAATGCAAAGGCAGAAATGCAAAGATAGGAATGCAAAGGCAGGAATGCAAAGGCAGGAATGCAAAGGCAGGAATGCAAAGGCAGGAATGCAAAGGCAGGAATGCAAAGGCAGGAATGCAAAGGCAGGAATGCAAAGGCAGGAATGCAAAGGCAGGAATGCAAAGGCAGGAATGCAAAGAGCGGAATGCAAAGACAGGATTGCCAAGGCAGGAATGCAAAGGCAGGAATGCAAAGGCAGGAATGCAAAGGCAGGAATGCAAAGGAAGGAATGCAAAGGCAGGAATGCAAAGGCAGGAATGCAAAGGCAGGAATGCAAAGACAGGAATGCAAAGGCAGGAATGCAAAGATAGGAATGCAAAGGCAGGAATGCAAAGACAGGAATGCAAAGGCAGAAATGCAAAAGCAGGAATGCAAAGACAGGAATGCAAAGACAGGGATGCAAAGGCAGGAATGCAAAGAGAGGAATGCAAAGGCAGGAATGCAAAGGCAGGAATGCAAAGACAGGAACGCAAAGACAGGAATGCAAAGGCAGGAATGCAAAGACAGGATTGCTTACGCAAGAATGCAAGGGTTGGGATGCATGGGCAGGAATGCAATGGCGGGAATGCAATGGCGGGAATGCAAAGGCAGGGAAGCAAGGGCAGAAACGCATAGGGAGGAATGCACAGGGAGGAATGCAAGGAGAGGAAGGGCAGGAATGCAAGGACATGAATGCAATGGCAGGAATGTTAGGGCAGGCAGGTACGGAGCTTACAGCAGCTCAGGAAACGCAGTGCATGGGCGACCTATAGGCACTTGGTGCGTAGACCACTTGGCCTTAAGTGCAGCCAGCTCCTTCTTCTTTTTGGCTCGTACTGCTCGCTGCATCTTCTTGTAGATGAGCTTCTGTCCCTTCACCGTGCGGTTGATAGTGTCCGGCTGGACCTTGTTCAAGTTGTCCTGATCCACAAGGCAGATGGAGCAGGGCCTGAAGGACTTGCATTGCATCATGCAAGAAACCTTGCACCCCTCTGGGTGATCAGTCACATACGCATAGAGCACCGGGTAAACCGTGTGCTCCCTCCCCGCATGATCCACCACCTGTATCACCCCCCTGGAAACCGCAAAGTAGGATGCAAGGATGAGAGCCACACTGGGGACGCTGGGGGGTACAACATAGTCGTTGCATTGCTACACGACATCTCACCCGTCAAGCTGGGATGTCTCAATGAGCGAGTTTGCCACAATGTCCAGCGCATCTTGGAAGGTGGCACACTTCTGTTCGGGGGCCAGGTCACCAGGAATGTTAGGCAGGTTGCCTATCATCTCCGTCCCCCCCTCTGCCCACCTTGCCCACTCCGGTGTGTTTGCGAATGCCATCATCACGGGGTGGGCTGTCTGTCGGCCATTGTTGGAGAGATTGGTTTGATCGCTGAAAAGAATGATTCCCAGCGCGTCTCCACGGTCCTTGATGCGTTCCTGTAGAGCATGCATTCAATGCATCAGGGATCTGGGCTAGTAGATCACCTATGGGCTACTGACGGGTGATCTCGAACGTATGCCAGGATGTGGGTGACACGTACCTGGGCCTGCAGCATAAAATCAGTGTTCATTGGCGTGCTGTAACGTCGCACGTTGCCCACTTTCCACTGCGCAGGTTTTGTCTGAAAGCCCTGGATCGCGGACTGACGTGTGTACATCGCCTTAAATACCTGTGGATTTCATGAGAAGGTCGCAAGAAGGCGTGCAAGAAAGCTCGGTACGAGGGCAACGTGCATAGGACGACATGAATGATTCGTGCATCAGGGGTCCTCACCGAGAGCACATTTCGCCACCGAAACGTCAAGAACTCGACCTCGTGATCAACCGGGATCTCCGAGACAACCCACTCGTTCTCCTCCCCCACCTCAAACGAATCCTCGAACCACTCCAGGTCCCGGTGTGAGTTCCACCCCTCGAGTTGCGAAGGGTCTAAGTCTGGATCCCTAAGCAGCCGGATTGTTGCAGTGATGGCCCCGTTGCTGAATCCATGATTCCGTGACAAGATGCAAACCTCGGCCCTAGTGTCGAGCAACTCTGGCTGCTCCTCCGGATCCAACACTACCGAGTCACTATGGGGCTCCTCCGCAGCCGGAGTCATATTAACATCTGGGCCTGGTTCTGACGAGATGTAGGCATCCTGCATCCGTGTCGTGGGCTGTGTGGGCAGCGGCGCGGACCCATAGTCGTGTAACTTATAGATGTCGTGTTTGTCAAGCTAAACTCGTAGGCCAAGGAGAGGCTTCCCTCGTGCGACGCGGTTTTGTAGTCGCCTGCATCTTTTATTTGAGACCTGATGGCTGCGCAGTGTCTGGTAACACACGAAGTAACGCTGGCAGAAACGGCACTTTTCAGCCGACATGGCAGACGATGTCCTAACATCGCTAGGGCATGCGAGGAGTAGCAGGCGGACGTGACCCAGATCTGGGAGCACAATTAGGGCTCGACCTTGGGAAGCCCCGTGATCAGCGAACGCTATGTAGATCCATCGAGGGGTACTCCCGGCGGATTTCGTGCCTCACATGCAGAGTGATCTGTCGTAATGCGTTGTGAATACAGTACAACTCTTCATGATATGTAATGGACCTATAAAATAACTGTTGGCCAATTAAGATTATACATTTATAATCACATCAATCATTAATAAATCCTCTTCCCAACAGCGCTTCCTTACTTTGTGGCAGTATCCTAGCGACGAATTAATTGGCAGCAGTTACATCTGACAACAGAGCTGCACTTTCAGCCACCTGTGAAAAATAGTTAGACCACCTAGTAAGGTCCTTGCGGTATTGCCTGCACCAGTTCCTGGGAGTTCCCATCAGATTGATATGCCAAAGGTCTTCAAAGCCCGTCTCCACAACGTAATGCATAAAGCGCATAGTGTAAACACCACAGTCGTCCGTACCCTCCTGCTTTGGCACCTGTACAGAGATAACCACACGTGGGAAGCCTCTTAGTGAATGCGGGCTATACGCAACGGGCAAGACTTGCATGGCAACTGTGGCTTGAAAATGGGCACTCGTGATAACGAGCTCTCATCATGCACTCACCTTGATGACACGGAGCGGAATCTCTGAGGCCCAAGCTTTGACATCGCGTCGTTGAAGGTGTGGAAAATGCGCAGCCACCTGTCGACGGAGGTATCAGGGCAGGGTGGGAGAAGCGACAGCGTTTGAAGATTGAAATTGACAACTAGCCGAGCTGCGTATGTGGCTTTGCTTACTCTCGAAGAGGAGCATCTATGTTGGTGTGCATATCCTTTGAGTCTGCATGCCACATCTGGCAAGCGACAGGGATGGTTTCGGCGGGCGTGCGCTTGAGCTGCAAGATGACCAAGATACAATGGTCACTGCCATGCCCACCAAGCCAGCTTTGTCATGTAGCAAAAATAAAACTTTAGAACAGAAATTACACCAAGAAGCATTTCGCAAGCCATAGAATCCGTGTGGTGAGGCATACCGCGAACCAACTCGTCAGACAAGTACTTACCCCTTGTGTACCGGTACTAGTACATGTTTGTAATCGAAGATGTTGATGCCATGGGTGTTGCTCTAGCTCGTTCCGTCCGCTAGCATGGTCGCTAGTCCCCAGAAGAACGTGGAAGTGTAAAGCCATGGCTGATCTTGCTCGGAGTACTCGTATCTTAACATTCTGCAATGGGAAATAAACCGTTGAGTCAAGGTAGGTCCAAAATCTATCCCAGCATGCGGTGGAAGGTGGGAGAACGTGAAATCACGTGCCTAGTCAATCAATAACCTGTCCACAAATCCAGTTGGACCCGCGAAGAGTTACAAGATGCGAATGATCAAGGTCAGCCATCTGTCGTACAACGGCAAGGGCATGATGAATGCTCGGAAACACGGCTTATTAGGCTCAGAAGGAGCGCCATGGTTAGATGCTGAATGTCGTGTCTCGTGCTGTGCGACCTAATGGAGTTTAAAAGGGACTAACCCTAAGTAGACACTGGAACAGGTCCTCGGCCAGGGAAGTGGCGATTTGGATGCGCAAACTTGAGGGAGCGTCTAGGTGCTGCCTTTTCTTTATGGTAGAGAATTCTAGAAACATAACATTAAAAGGGTACCCACGCGGATGTCCCAAACTGCGGATGTGCAAGGAAGGTAGGAAATCGTATGGCCGCTAGGCGGTGGCTTGATCCCGCGGGCTACCTTACACATGAGTCTTAGTACGAACAACCCTCTGTGTACGTTATAAAGGCCATTAACTGTCACGGGTCACAAGGGCAATCCACCTAAAATTGATGTGCCCCAAAAACACACGAGTCCCCCCGAGGGGTTAGAGAACGGCATATACATTTCACCACAGCTGCACCTGACACGTCACGCCACGTGAAGATTCGCTGTCACGTCGGGCTTGAGGGCACGCAACGGAGCACCATTTTTACTCGGCTCACCCTCCCCTAGTACCTAAGTTGGTACCTTACGTTTACGTGTACGATTTTTTACGTACGTTTACGGCTACGTTTACGTACGTTTACGTGCCTTTGATTTTAGGCCTGCATGTACGGGCAGCCTGAATTTTTTGGGGCTGCCCTAGGAAAAAAACTTAGGGAGGGTAGAAATCTGACTTTGTAAGAACATGGTTCACTCAAATTTTATAGTAGTATTATGCAAGCATACAGCGAAAACCCAAGTTTCCCCCGAGCAAAACACCTACTCGGATCACTCTGAATCGCTAGATTCGTCCTCAGACTCGTCATCAGGCTCGTCCTCAGACTCATCCATAGTGGAAATGTCCAAGTAAGCTTCATCTTGGATGTCATCATCCTCGTCAAGTGGCTCATAGCCATCCTTGGGCTCCTCTCGAATCACCGGTAGTGCTGTCACCATCATTTTCTTGGCGAAGTCCTCATTAAGTTTCTTCACAGTGTGGTAGTTGTGACTGACGTACACTAAATCCGCAAGACGCTTGGGGCCGAGTCGGTTGCGGCGTGCGGTGTGGATGGACTCCCACACACCCCAGTTCGTCTCACATGTGGACGCCGACACGCACTGCTTGAGAATCTTGCACGCCAACTTCGTCAGGTGAGGGCAGTCGGAGCCATTCGTAACCCACCACTGCACAGGATCCAAGTGACCCTCCTTGATAAGGATGTGTTCGTCCTTAGCTTTCTGCTCTCCAATTTCTCCCGTCCCCCTGGTGTACGTCAGAATCTCGGTTTCCACAACTGTCGCCATTGGTGACAAGACGTTCCCCATCTTCACAGTCTCTCCCTTGTAGTAGTCGTGCACAAACTGTTTGAATACCTTGGTGCACTCGCGATCCGGTCCGAATATCTTCTCGTACTGGTTCGGCGGATAAAGAATGCGCCCAACCACATAAAGAGGGCAGTTGATGTCGTTCTCCCACCTGTTGCGCACGATCTCTGCAACCTCCTGCTGCTCGTCTGCCTTCAATCCCACGCTCGCCTTCTCCACTTGCTCCTCCAAATCGATCATCATCTCGTACATTTTGCCCATGACCTCCTGATTGCCGTCGACCTGCCTCAGCATCATGTAGATTGGCTTCAGCACAACTACCACCTGTTCAACGCCCTTCCAGAATCCAGGGCGCTTAATGGTACCCCGTGCAACCCTCAGTTTAGGCCTCCCCTTCATGTAGTCCTTGAAACCCTTGGTCGACACCATCTTCTTCAATGTGTGACGCACCAAAATCAACCGCTCAAGAGCGATGTAGTTCGTCCCGAACCGAGTGCTTGCAGGCTTCAACACTTTCAGCGAGTCCTTCTCCCGAAAGTGGCCCGTGATCCACTGTGCGTTTTTCAATGTAGATATGAGTTGTTGCGCCTCCTCGATGGTGGGTTTGGCCCAGTTAAGCTCGCCAATGTCTTTCATCAAGAGACTGAGCACGTGTGCGGCACAACGAATCCACTGCACTTTAGGATACTCCTGCGCCACGATGCTGGCAGCGCTGATGTTCGCGCTCGCACCATCCATCAGCAGTCCAACGACGTTCTCTGTGCCGACCTCCACAATCGCGGTCTTCAAATGTTTGGCGATGTAGTCGGCTCCTTTCTTATTCGTGCCGCAGTCCACGCCAAACAGGAAGACGCTTGCACGGGAGTTCACCGCCAGGATGTTGAGCTGAGGTCGGCCTTCGCCATCCGTCCACCCGTCGCACGCGATGCTCACACCAATTTCGCTCCACGACTCCTTCACATCCTTGAGGGCGTTTTCGGTCTTCGACTTGCACTCCTCAAGCAGGCGACCCATGATAAGTCGACGTCCGGGTGGGGAGAAACCGGGTCCCGCAGCTGCCACCTTCTTCAGCATCGTCTTGAAGGCTTCATGTTCGGCCACGTTTGGCGGAATGCGACAAACGTGGAAGAACGAAGCAACGGCCAACTGCGCATTCGCAGCATCCACCGGCTTGGGACGCGTATCCGTGAGCGTCCTCTGCGTCGCCGGCCGCTTTCGCGCTCCACCGCAACTCTCGGGCATGTTCGTGGTCGTGTTGACGATAGGGGTATGCGCGAACGCATTTGCAGTCCTCTGGCTTGCTTTCTTCCGCTCGTCGTCATCGCTCCTTTTTTTCGCCAAGGCAGCTTTCACTTCCTCCTTCGCCTCGTCAGTAGCTGAGGGGCACGCGATTATGCCGCTATTGCGAATGCCAAGAATATGGTTCTGTGCGCGCACTACATTGAGCTTCCAAATGCAGTTGCAAAACTTGCACTGCTTGTCTACGGTGGAGTCGCATTTACCACCCTCCGGCACGTTGAAATACTTCCAAATATGATGGTCATCAACGTTCACCATGACAGCTGAATTTCAAAGCTGATTTTGGCTGGAAATATGAGTAAGTGCTGGTGCTGCTGGTAGTTCTGTGGATTCGGACTGAAATCTGTCGTAATTAAGTAGCAATCTGGATTTGACGTGCGGAAGAGTCTCTGGAGCCGCAAACCAATTTAGGCAAAAGCGCTAGGACGAAATGGCATGTACGCGGAAACGTGTTGCTGCCGGTTGCAACGAAACCAACATGTAGTATGCGATTGGTCGAAATACTAGAAGGCATTTTCATCGCACCTCAAATTTGCCGACGGATGCTGGAGCGACGAAACTGATTACGCGGTGCGTGTGCTTGATTGATTGGGTGGCGAAAGTGGTGGGCGTCAAATTTGACGCGTTGGCAAACCACTCTGCAAAATTTTGCCGATAGAAGCAATTGCGACGAAAGGCATAGGGAGGTGCGAAACCTCGTCAATGTGCCGGCACGTCAAATTTGACGCGCTGGCAAATCGACGAGTCAACCCAACCGACCGCTCGCGCCCATCCCCTTCCAACCAACCCTTACCCAGCCCTCGACAAATAATCGCGTCCCCCTCCAGTCACGTAGATCCTAACCCACAGGATCCCGCCAACCTAGTCTAAGCTTAAGCTAGCACTTTAGCTAGGAAGGACCCCCCTCCCCCACACCAGCGCGACGATTAGGCGCGTGTCGCAGACTGAGGGGAGACCTTCATCGGTAGTCTAGTAGTTAATTTCTAGATCGCGTTTAAGTATAGCTGCCGCGAGATGTTGATCGCGTTTTTCCCGCGGACAAATTTTGGCCCGAGAAAAAAATTAACGCCTGCCCGGCGGACGTACACATAACGTACGCGTAACGTAAGGTACGCGTAACATTACGTTACGCGTACGTGTACATGGTCTGGATTGACGTAAAGTACCAACTTAGCCTAGTACCCGGTATATTGCATGTCGATTTCCGCGATGTCTGTTTGAACGCATGTTGTCTGTACGTCCATTTTTAGGTGAAATCTACCTCTTTTGGGTCCATCTGCTATACTCCATCTTGTCCCCAGTTTTTATTTTGCGTACTCTTACCTGGAACCCCAAAAAACACTTGGGTTGAACCCTAGTACTCGTATATAAGAAGAAGTAATTGATTATAACAAAGGGATACAAGGTCTATATGATGATACAGGAGAATAGGAGTCAAATTGTTTATGTATTTCATGGGGTACATTCCCTTCTTACGACTCGATAAGGCGACTCGGGTAACCACCCGTACATTGATTTCAACTGGTACTGCAGCAGTTTTGACTCGGTAATCCACGTTGTTGGAGTCTTCTCGTAATTCATATACTCACACTAGACTCCGGAAGTGCGTAAGTCCTTCGTCCAGTTCACGAATTCTTTTTGTAGGCGATTCTGAATGCTGATTGGTTGTCGTAGAAGAGAGAGAGAAGCTCGGTATCTTGGCAATCTGTGCCTCTAAGAGCAGTTCACGCAGGTACATTCTTTCCTTTGTAGCTGCGCAGAGGGCGACATATTCAGCTTTCCCAAGTGCCAGGAATTAGTGCCAGTAGGTTCCAGGCGGTAGATGTAGCCGGTGCGTGAGCGGCGGCAGTCCTTATCGCCGAGGTGAACAACATCGACGTAGCCGATGAGTTCGGTTTTGGTGGAAGCATTCTTGTGTTAGGTCAGGCCGATCATCAAAGTCGATACAAAGTAGTGGAACGCGCGATCGAGTTCGGCCAGTTTCCCTCCTTTGTGTCGCTTAGGGTAGGTAGCGAGCTGGCTAGTGGTGTAGGGGAGGTCGTGACGGCAGGTTACGGCGGTGAATAGCAGACAACCAACAGGTGCTGGTTACGTGTAGGTGTTCAGAGTAGCGAGAGTTAGCGGGGAAAGAGCGAATCTGTGAGTGATGGCGTCGGCGTACTTTGAGGCCGAGAGATGGATGGTGTCGGGGCGGTCGGTGACGTTGAAGCCGAGCTACTGCGTCACGGTCGGCGATACCGTCATCGATAGCTGGAGTTCCAGCCGAGTCCCCAAACCAGGTGGTGATGGAGGTAGTGGAGCTGATGTAGAGTAGGTCGTCCACATAAACGATCAATAGGATGTAGTCACCACTGCGTGGCAGGCGGTACATACCCTTGTCGTGAGGTTGCAGTCTTCGAAGGGAAGTGTGGCAGCTGATGGGAGCGAATGTCTCTGTATAGTCGATGCCGTACTACTGTTCGAATCCGCGAACGACCCATTGTGCCTTGAAGTGATCAATGGTCCTATCTCCATTGGTCTTTGTTTGGGAAACCTATTTTCCTGACACGATTGTTTTTCCCTAGGTTTGGGATATGGGGATCAGTTTCTAGGTGTTGCGCTCCTGTAGTGCCGCTAATTCCCTGTCCATTGCCTCCCTCCTTTTTTCATTGTGCGGTCCTTGCAGCGTGCGTTTGGCGGTCGTCGGCTCCTCAAGTGGCGGCGGCGATGGAGGATGCACGGCTGCTACCAGTTCGAGGATTTCCTACCCAGTCTCGGTGTAGCGGGATAGTGTTGGATTCTTGGGACAAGCTTCTTTGTCGCCCGTTTCAGGATCAGGTACGAAATGTGGTCCTTCTCATTCTGAAACATTTGTGTAGACGATGTGGCGTGTTACGCTACCACTGTCGGCGAAGTGGTAGTAGGCTTCGGCATTCGCACTTTCGTGAGGATTGTCTTCGTCCATCTGCATGTCGATGGAGCAGTAGGGATGTGGTCATGCAGCTGCTGACGAGTCAGGGACATTCTGCTTCTCTAGGTCAACCTCATCTTCTTATGAGGCGAACGCGCGTGCTCCAACGAATCTACCGGTTGGGTCCCGATTGGCTGCAATATTGTCCGGGTAATGGTTGAGGGTCAGGTTCTTGTAGGAAATCACGTCGCATGCCGATACTGTTTCCTTATCTTCCACGTCGAATATTCTAAAAAACCCTTGTAATGTTTTCGCACGCCAAGGTGTAGACCCCATGTTGCCCGTTGTAGAAATCGTACATCTCGTGCAGTGTGCACACGGTACTGTACCATGCAGCTGAACACTCATAACATTTTTGGTTGAACACCCTACGTCCATCGAGGAGTAGATGGTATGCTTGATCATGTGTAGGTGGTATGCCTATTGCATATCACGTGCCTTCAAGACTCATGGGGGCTACCCCACTCTTGTTGTTGCTGTTTGCAGAATGAGCAGGTGCCGAGGGCTGCTCGTAGGTCGACATGAAGGAGAAGAATTTCTCCATCTGATTCGGGTCCATGCCCATGGAGGAGGCCACTGGTTGCGTGGCTCCTCATGAAGCTGCAACAGCCTTAGTCTGGAGTCCAAAAACTGGGGGTGTAGTAGGGGATCCAGTTGAGGATCCGTCGCCCTTAGATAGAGCCATGTAATGTAATGTCGAGTTGGTAGCCGGAGTTGTTGTACTTGATTTATCAAAGGTGTAAACAATTCACCAAAGGAGTTTGTAACAGGAGCACAGCTTCTGATAGGCTCTTATACCATTTTGACACGCTTCTCGCGATTCTGACTGTTGGGTTGCACGGTCAACAGTCTAAGACTGTTGCCCTTTCGTAACCTCTTTGAGGTGTCGACAACCTTTGTGAATCGTCAGGGGTACTGTACTTAAAAAACCTTACTGATCGAATTAATGAGGCTGTGGGACTCAAGAATGTGCGAAACTTGTAATTATGTTTACCATTGAAATATCTTAAAAAGAATGGAAATGTCATAAAACCAACCCCAATTTAATAAATTCGGCGAATACAGGTGTAAAAATGGTTGAAGAAAAAGAGGCCATTAATCCAACTTTGTATTATTCAAACAGTAGAGAGCCAACAACAGGTGAGAGTGTACTTGCCATCTGTCCTTGTAGGCCAAGTCTCGCCTAGTCTTGCCCAACCTACCACCCCTGTTATTTTGCGATGCGAGGCTGGCAGTCCACTTTTGTGAGAGTGGCCCGTCACCCAAAGTTTGGGGTGTTGAACAATTGGTCGCCTCGGCTCGATAAACATCGATGGATTTCAGTAACAATAGGGGGATGGGCATGTTGCCACTGGATCGAAAGCACAGCGTGCTGGATTATACGTGAACACGAGCCTCGTAAATTGTAGCCTGCCCTAAAAAACGCCTTTTGAAGGCTCTCTGCTGAGTATGGCTGGGCAGATGCGCACGCAGCAGGTTCGGGGGTTTACTGTTGCCAACCAAAGCTCCTCGGATCGAAGTTTGGTGTGAGCCTTGTACCAAACTCGATGAGGGATGGGTTGATTGAGACAGCCAGGCAGAAGTTGTGTGGTTGATGAGTCTTGGCCGTGCAAACTGCTCCTCCCCGCATATCACGGCATTTTCGGATGGTTGACTGTATTGAAGTTCCTCTCCCAACCACACCTCCCCCGCTGGTTCGTCCTATTGCCTCACAGCCCGATCCATCATCTCCACCCCCTCCTTGGCTGCTCCACCCGAACCTGATTGTGTACCAGATCCACTCCACTCTTTGGTAGCCCACTTCGCGCTATCCCTTCTATTAGCATCTGCTCCAAAATGGCCAACGAAACCCTGAGGCGCGGTGAAAGAGAGCGCAGGAATAGTGTCAAGCTGAACGGCCCCTACGTTATTGAGGGAGACGAGGATGGTCATGCGGAGCACCAGGGTTGCAAGGTGACGCCTGGTGAGACGAAGGAGGCCCTCCTTGAGTACCGAAAACGGCATCCATCTTCTGTCAGGGGCTGCAAGAAGGGAGATGGTAGCGATTATAGCAGTGACAACGAGAGCGACGATGGGGAGGATGGCGAACCGTACGATAACGTTCCAGAGAAATTGCGGTCGCCAAAAAA